AGAGAGAGAGAGAGAGAGAGAGAGAGAGAGAGAGAGAGAGAATGGAAGGTACTAAGCTTGAAGCCTTGATACCCAGAGGGTTTGGGAAGCGAAGTCGTGGGCTTAGCCCATCGGAGAGTCAATAACCCAAAGAGCCTCCATTTTAAGTAAACAAGAGAGAGAAGAGAAGAAAGAATGAAGAGAGAGAAATAGAATAGAGAGATAAGAAAGAGAAAGAAGAGAGTGAGTGGACATAGGCAGGCTGGGGTTTATGCGTGCGTTTGAGGGTCCCTTTTGAGCACTCCTTAGAGAGTTGTCTTGACCTTTGGGGTTAAGTTTAGGGTCAGGGTCTAAGATGAGTGGACCTAAATGGGTTAGGGTAGTGTATGGGATAGGGTAGATGATGATCTAAGGTGACGTCTATGGTGCAGGGAGAAGGAAGTTGGGAAGGCTAGGGAGTAGGAAGTTTGAGGTTCTAGGTTGTAGGGAGTTTGAGGTTTTAGGGAATTGGGAGTTGGAAGTGGGGGGTTTGGAAGTTGGGAGTTGGAAGTAGGAGGTTTGGAAGTTTGGAATGGGAAGTGGGACATTTAGAAGTTGGGAGTTGGGAGTGGAGGGTTTGGAAGTTGGGAGTTGGAAGTGGAGGGTTTGGAAGTTAGGAGTTGGAAGTGGAGGTTCCAATAGCAATTACCCAAAGTGGTAAAATTTTCTCTCTCCTCTCTATTGAAGTTAGAAGCTATGAACAAGCAAAGGATTGAAGGGGGAAAAACCCTTTTTTTTTATTATATTTCAAAACTTCAACTTACAAATGACTAAAGTTCCTTCTATAGAACAACCCCAAAATAACGGTGAATTGCTAAAAACAGCCAAATTTGTCAAAAAATACACATTTCATAAATTCAACTATTAATCCCGTGTTGGACCAAATGATCAAAATACCTTTTAACACTTTTCAACAAATGACAAAACCATCCCTTCATGAGGGTCCTCTTGTCATTGCTAAGCCTCAAGAGCTTTTTCGGATGTTTACGGTGGTAATTCGAGCAATCAAACGTCGTAGAATCGATGCTTGAACTAGTACGAACATTTCGATACCTTTTGATCGTCTTGAAACAGATTTTTAATAGAACAAAAAATCCAGCAAAGTTCCATAAATTGATGATTTTTTGACCACCAATTTAGCACGATCCATGATGTTTACAGACTTCGTTTTGATCATAAATTGAAGCGGATATCATGATCATTTTGCGATAAATTTCATCCATTTTGGTCCCCGTTTGAGCACATTCCAATTTTGGGAAGTTGTCGAAAAATGGGATTCCAACGACCGAAAAAGTATGTCTTCTTCGACCTCAAAATTCGGTGTCATCCGGTCTTCGATCAAATATCAAACTGTAGCTCTTCAAAGCATGGTCGCAACAGACCCGTACTTGCGACGATCTGACATCAGGATCTTGAGCAATGGCCTCTCAAAGAGATGGATGTTCTTCCTTTAAAAATATGAATTTTCATGTTTCGATCTCATCTTCTCTCTAGAAATTCTCTTCTTTTAGGCCACGCTATGATGCATGTCATATGTCAAAACAAGCGGATCGTCGAGATCAAGCTCGTGTTTGAATTTGAGCTTAATTGGATTCAAAACAAGAAAGTTATGAGCATTTGAAAATCATCCTGAAATAAGAAAACATAGTTTCCATAAATGGAAACTGGTTCACCGAGGGTGCACCGCATTAGTATAAAGCCCACCTTTATGGTAAGTTAGGCTCAGAATGGTCCCTGAAGGCCTAATTGGGCTAAAATTTGATATCAAAGGGTTTTCGACGTTTCGAATCCAATGGCGGTGGTTTGATAATATTTTGAGACCCATAAAATAGAGTTATAGTTATAGGGTCTGTTTTCAGCATTATAGGAACTAGATTTTAAAACCAAGTTTCGCTGTTGTCATATCAAAACTCGTCAAAATGCGATGAAAATTTGTGGGTGTCCTTAGGATATCAAAAACTACCCTCACATGAAATTTAAGGTCATTATGACACTTCTTCAAAGGTTGCCAGATATTAGGCTTCTTACTACAGTGTGACTGTGATCTGGCGGCATCTTGAGCATCGGTCGGACTAGGTTACTACCGGCTCTCTCCTTATTCGCCCTGGCGATACAAGTACGTAAAAAATAATGTATAATAACTTGTCCCACCGAATGCTACTCTTCGAGAGAAGCGAGAAGTGTAACATTCAGAACAAAACTTTGCCAGAGCTCTTCTTTCGAATCCTCACTAATGTGCTTTTATTATCTCTCAACAATCTTTTTCTTCTTGATCATCGGCATCAACACGATCCTTGAGGGGTAGACCATGCCAAGCTTTTTGCCTGAAGGATGACCGAAATGGATTCTAACTATTGGGAGGCTTTTAAGGGCTTGATAAACCCAATACTGCTAGAATCCATTTTCTGGGGAGCATGCTGACCGGGTGCCTTACTTAAAGGCTTACTTTCCCAACTCAACAATACTTCCGAATGAGCCAAGTGGTGGTGCCTTTAGGGTTTGATCCCAATCTGGTGGCATTTTTTATTCTAACAACTGGAGGCTTTGCTTAAGAGCTTGATAACCCAATATTATAAGAATCCAGATGTCACCAAATTGTCTTAGAATGACCTTCCTTAGGTAGGCTTGTTCGATGCGCTTGTGATAGCTTCGCATAGTATTGCAAGCTCAAAGTTGCCTCTCATCTAGGCTGAGAAAGGAGGCTAACCGTTCTTCGTGTATTCCATTGTCATCTAAGGCGTGATGAAACATGTCATCTTGAACTCTCTCTCTCTTGATGAGTGACGAACATGTGATCTTCCATGATAACCGATCAACAACTCTCTCTCTCGATTAATGGATCATGGTTTTGGGGGTTTTGATGAAGGTATTTAAAGAGGAAAACTGGGTGAAGAAAGAAGAGGATGAGGAATTGAAATGTGAAGAGAGTTACTCTAGGGTTAAAAGGGGTCTATTTGGTCAGCACTAGCAGTGAAGGGAATGAGAAGCATTTCAAAAGCGGAATGGATTTGCCTCAACCTCTGTTTCTTCTTTCTCTAGAGAGAGAAAATGGGGTGTTGAACTCCTTGATGTTTCTTTTTCTAGAGAGAGAAAATGAGGTGTTAGAAGCAAGAGTTCAGTGTTATTATAAAATTGCATTTTCTGGTGGACAGTTGCCAGGAAAGGCAGCAGCCATGGACATATTTTCAAGTAGGTTTTGGGCAGAGTAGGGGGAATGTCATCTTTCTGAGGTAAGGGTTTGGTGGAGAGTTTCAATGGCGTTGCCGACTTAGAGTGGGGGATCACCCAAAACTTGATGGCATCAATTAGAGAGAAAACTCTACATTTCCTTTAATTTGCACTTGAAAAACTTGTAACTTGTTTGGAATGATGAGATCCAAACTTACCGTTTCTAGAAGAACCTTTCATCTCAATCATTTTAAAACAACCCATAAAACTTCTAGCCTCTTTTGGAGACTTTCTCTCCCTCGATTATTGATTTGGGCCCATAGGATATAAATTCACAAGGTAAGTTCATGACACTGTGATTAGATTTAGGCCCATAGGATATAAATTCAAAAGAGAAGTTCATGACAGTGTGATTATCACCAGTGCAGCGTTCTTGGTGAATTGGGGTCAAAGGTTGACTTGGGCCATTAAAAAGGTAATCTGGGGCAAAAAGGGCAATGGGGTGTTACCTACAAAGGATATTCATAATAATACCTGCAAGTCTGGGTTTTGAGAACTACGGGAGCCGGCATTGTTGACGAAAACACCCCTCCAATTTGGGGTTACTTATGAACCCAGAAAAAGTCTCTCTCCTATCTCTGTCATGCCCTTCACTGCACTGCACTGCACTGCATGGCATTCCATTGACTTCAGATGAAAAGGATATATGATCATCCAATCATTGACTATTCAGCTTTTGCATTGTGTTTCAGATCTCTCCCTGTAGAGGGAAAAAGATCAGAAAGCTGACTGCCATGACCCGAGAAATGATGTTTCCATGGCTAATCTTCTTGTTTCTGATCGGCCGTTGCAGCGCAGATGTTGGAACCGCCACCTTCTACAATCCACCCTATGTTCGTAAGTTCCCACCTGCCCCCTATCTTAATTTCTCTATTCCCACAATATCTAAATTTTAAGTACCCAAAACATTTGAGTTCTTCAAGTTTCTCCTTCAGATTACAGAAACTTTCACCCCATTCCTGGGAAACTCTCTATCTTACCTGATAATTTCATGTCCCCTATTCTTTCTATCAAAAATGGCGAAAACAAGTCGGAACAAAGGTGCTTTCCTTTGTGATAACCAAAATATTTCCACCATTCCTGTAGATCTCTCTCTCCCTGATGATTATTACCAACAACAGAAAAAACAAGTCATGAAAATATCAGTAACCTTTCATTGCCATAACCAAAATTTTCCCATTACTGTTGAGACATCTCTCTATCTCTCTGTACTCAATTTTCATTTGCTTTACACTCATGATGCAGCGACAAAGTGTTATGGGAATGGAACTTTGCAGTTCCCGGCCGACAATTTGTTTGCAGCAGCAAGTGACAGCATTTGGGACAACGGTGCTGCCTGTGCGAGGGAATACAGTGTGCGGTGCCTGAGCGCGGCTGCCTCCTCTGCAGATCCGTGTGTGGCCAACTCCGTTATTCAAGTCAGGATTGTCGATTTTCGAACGACAGGGGCTGCAACTATGTTCCTCTCATCGGATGCCTTCCAAGCCATTGCTCATCCTAACGTGACTGCCACCATCAATTTTGAATTCAAGCAGTAATTCCCTCTCTCTCAACACAGGCACAAAACAATATGAATCAATCTCTGTCAAGTGTCGAATTTCTAGGAAAGGGGCTGGGCTCGTCGTGGTAGCAGCCCCATACGTAGTCACCATCTCCATTCCTATTACTATCGTCAATCCCACTATCACTTCTATCATCAATCCCACTATCACTTCTAAAAATTGAAGTGCTTAATTTACTTAAAATAAAACAAAAATTATAAATAAGAAAAACCCCAAAAAGTATATCTTTTAAACAGCCAGCCTTATTTTTTTCCCGTAATTTTACCCCAAAATGAACTTTTATAGCAAATATTGTCAAAAAGATATTTTTTTTTAACAGAAACGCCTTTTCCCATACATAAGAAATTATGTTGGGCCAGACATATGGACTCACGAACGTAGTGCCGGAGTGAGAGAAAAATGTGTCGTACCCACGTGAAGACATCCTTAGGCAATATAGCCGAAGCACGTCTAGACCATGTAGTCAACATGCCAAACCACCTTTATAAAGTGTTGGACCCTTTTTTCTTTTTCCCATAACCTCATTGCCTGACCACCGCTATAAACTGTCGGACCCTTATTTTTCAAAACAAATTTAGTGCCGGACCACCTTTATAAAGTGTCGTGCCGCCTTTAAAAAATTAGGTCTTGGGTGGAAAAAAGGACAGAGACGTTTTAACTAAGGGGAAGGTATTTTGGTTTTCTTTTTTTTTACTTGATGGTATTTGCTAGATAAGTATGTTTTGTGGTAAAAGTTGTGGAAAAAAACAAAAATCTGTTTTTTTTGCAGTTTTACTCCAAAATGAACTTTTATATACCCCAAATAAAAAAATTATATTTTTTGACAAAAATGCCCTTTCCCATACATAAAAAATTATGTTGGGCGAGACAGGACGTTGACTGACGAAATACCAGACCGAGAGAAAAAAAGTGCCAAACCCGAGTGAAGATAGCCTTAGGAGAATATTGCCAGATCGTGTGAACATATACTCTGTGGTCAATATGCTATACCGTCTTTATAAAGTGTCGGACCTCATTTTTTTTCTAGAACCCCATTGCCGGACCACCTCTATAAACCTTCCACCCTTATTTTTCTAAAAAAATTTAGTGTCGAACCACCTTTGTAAAGTGCCGAACCGCCTTTAAAAAATTAGGTCGTGGGTGGCAAAGAAGAGAGACGTTCTAACTAAAGAGAGGGCATTTTGGTCACTTTTTTTTTACTTAGAGATATTTGTTAGAAAAATATGTTTTGAGGTAAGTTTTTAGAAAAAATTAATTAGGAGGATCTCTGTAATTTTCCTTCAAATTAAAACAGCTAGGGCTGGTCTTCTCCACTCAATTACCCAAAGAAAAAAAAAAAACTCCAATAATCTCTCTCATAAGCGGACACATATCTGCATTATCTCTCTCTCTAACCTTGTCGTGCACACAGGGTTTGAATATTATTTGTGTAGACTGCGACCCGTGATTTGAAGTTGGATGCCATCGCTGAAGTGATTCTTTATTTTGTATTTTAGTGTGCTGTTGGTTTGCGAATTCGTGGGGTTGCTTCTTTTCATTTCTCCAATGATAACATGTAATTTCTCTCCCATCTCATTTTGTATACATTCTCTTTAACTTTGCGCTTGGTCAATAAAATAAATGTAACCATCCAATTTCATATCCAATAGTCAAGATTATTTTTTTTTTATACAAGTTCAAAGTTTTATTGATCAGGAATTAAAGAAATTACAGCGTCAGAGACTAAAATCTCAGATAAGGTGGTTCCACCTTTGGCAAGAGAATCTACCAAACCGTTGGCCTCACAAAAAACATGAACAAAGGAGCAAAGGAGAGGTCTAGTTAAGTCCAAAATTTCCAACTAAAGAGACAGGAGTTCTTAGGGTGGTTTTTGCTCCAACTTACACCACTTGATGACATTAAGAGAATCACCTTCCACCATACAAGGCGTGCCGAAATTTTTAGCAGTGAACAATTTCAGCCCATGAAGAAGAGCCATTGTCTCCGCGCAATTAGCAGTTTTAACCCCCAAAGGTCCAGCATAAAAAAAGATCACTATTCCATTCCAATCTCTCACCACATCTCCAAATCCAGTAGGACCCAAGTTTCATAGAGAACTCCCATCAAAATTTAATTTGAGAACCCCAACCAAAGGTGGTGTCCATCTCCCCTAGGGCCTATAGGTAAAAGATTTCAATTTAAAGATGTTTGAAAAATTCCTTCTCACATCCATCTCAAGAATATCTTTACCTACTTTTGTAATAGAGCAAGAAAGCCAGACGGAATATAAGATCTTATCCAACACACAGCCCACAGACAAACTGATCCCATCAAACACCCTTTTATTCTCTCCTTCTAAATCTCCCACAGAATAATGCCTCTCAAAATTTGCCATAAAACCACACCAGTTGGTGGCAGCCACTAAACTGTTAAATTTGAAATAATCCCTTGTACAGCCGCAGGCATTATCAAAGAACTTCCCAATTGGATAAAAAACCAATGTCAAATTTGTAGTGTAAAAGGACAATGCAAGGACAAATGAGCCCATGTTTCAGCGACATTCTTCCATAACAAACTTATATTTGGCAACTTCTTACCTCGTTTGATGAGATTATCAACCGTGAGCATCTTATCTTGCACAGTCAGCCACACAAAAGCTTTGACCTTGGGTGGTACAGGCCATTTCCACACTTCTGTAATTTCTGGTATAGACCATCTCCATCGGTCATGAAAGAGTAAATTATACATAGATTTAACCGAAAAAACTTCATCAAAAGCATTCTCCCAAATTACCTCATCAGAAGCAGTTTGTGGGATATAGACTTCTTGTAAGAGGGCAAGGAGTTGAACATATTCCTGAAAAACCACTTCTGAGATTCTATTATAGGGAAGAACAATATTCCAATCAACCTGATTTCCCCTTAAGATAAAGATGTCAGATTCAACAACATCAGAATTTTCCATACGCTGGTAAACAAAAGGAAACAAATACTTAAGTGGGATGTCACCATGCCATTTATGATGCCAAAAGGAAATATTTTGCCCACTTCCCAAATTCCATCTAATATCCCTATGAATTAAACTCTTACAAGAATTAATAGATCTCCAACAATAAGACACTCCCCTTGTACTACCTCATAAACCAGCCCACATATGAAACCAGTCTACTCCATACTTAGCATTGATGACTTGATAATATATGAAAACTGTCTACTCCACCTTAAACTTTGAGTTTGGTCGATGGAATAGATGCAGCAACCCAATTTCACATCTAATAGTTAAGATTAATTGTAACCACCTTATACCAAAGATAAATGATCTCATTATATACTTTTCCATACCTATGTATGTGTATTGTTGATGGTAACAAGTGTTGTAAAACCTTTGCTTTTTAATAATAAATCAAAGTCATCTTTTGTGGAAAAAGATGGGTTTATCCTGGGGATCAACATGTGCTCTCATTGTATGTTTCACCACTAATCAAGCATTGAATTTAGGGTAACTATCAAAAGAACAAGGTTTCTTTGAGGCCTACGATTAGATTTCATATGTGGATACTTCATATGTGACCCCTCTTTTTTGTCTATTTTTTAGATGTGTTATGGACCCGATTTTTTGGATATATTATGTCTAATATGGGTATCATTATTATGTAAAATAAAAAATAAAAGCTAAGAATGTAATTTTTTGAAATAAAATTTTGAACCATTAGTTTTTATTCTTTTAAGAGGGACGACACCTCAGCATTCATTTTGAAGATGGATATATGATACCTCGGGGGTCAAGGCCATAGTTACCGAGAGCGGGAGCGGGAGCGGTAGCGGTTCCGGTTCCTGCAGCAGAAGCATGGGATCGATGGCTGCCCGAAGCTCTAGAGCTCAGGAGCGAGATCCGGTGAGGGTAGAAGTCACGGATCGAGGTCATGTTTGGACAGAGAGCGAGATCCCGATACATTGGGATCGAGATCCCTATTTAAAGGGAATGCATTCCATGTATTTACATAACTAGATCCCATTTGAATAGGGAGCGAGATCTCGTTTGAATAAGGAATGAGATCTTGAGACATTGGGATCGAGATCCCTATTCGACAGGAACGCGTTACATGTAAAATGGGATCGCGCTTCCATGTCTATTCGGATCATGCTCCCCTTGACAACAAGAACTATATTCTATTTTATGTTGAGTCTCCCTCCCATCTAAACAATATCATGATCCTATTTGGATAGGATTGAGCTCTATTCATTGTAGGATCGCGTTTCGCTCAACAATGGTCCACGCCTCCATCACAAAACTCCACTTGTATGACGAATCCAACCCCATTACACATGGCTTCGTGCACCAACAAAGCACGGCAGCCCGTTCCTATACGAACGCAATCTCAATTTGGTTAAATTTATAAACAATTGTTCGATCTATCAATGGCCCATGCGGCTAGATCCATGCACAACTAATCATAGATGTCCATGGATTAATTAAATCAGATTATTTTAGTATGAAATAAAGTCTTCTAATGCTATGAACGATTAATGTTAATATTGTTCAAATTCGCATACATGCTACAAAAATGAGCTTTACGTTGGCATTTGTATACATGGAAATATCTTGCCTAGGATTGGGTACCATTTGGATGCAACCTAGCATATATGGTTACTGTTAGGATTGAAATCATGAAATGCATCACCGTTATTTTTTCGTAGAAATAATTAAATGAAAATTTGACTAAAAATAAAATTTTATTTTAGAAGTTTCTTTTGGAAAGTTCTTTGGAAGAATAAATTGGTAAAATAAAGTTACTATTGGAAGCTCAGTGGAAGAA